AATGCGGGCAGTCCTCGCCCCGCATATCCAAAGCCACACAGAGTCGTCACCGCACTTGGCCAGAGTGTGCAAGCCAGGTTCGCCCACGTGCCGCAGTCCGTCGCGACCATGCGTCAACCCCGCTCACTGAGCACCAGCTCGTCGGATCTCCCAACTCTCATGCTCACTCACCTTCCAAAACTTGCTCGTTAGCCGATCCTCACTGATCGCGCTAACCTCGAGGTTCTTAGAGAGAACTAATCACGCTTGCGAAATTTATAGCATGGATGTTTGCGCGACGGATACAGGATTAGCACCAAGTGATGAGAAAGAGAAAAGAGGGAGTGCCTACGTCTGCATGTCCAGGCCGCGGCGCGGGGGACGAAGTCACTCTCCGCGCATCGATCTGGGCATGCAGCCGTGGGAACCACTTAGAACAGAGGAAGAGTGCGCACGCGAAGACGAGGCGAAAAAAGAAGGAAATACGAAAGCCATCAAGAACAAGCAGATTACAGTTGCGATTGAACCCGCCAAAAACTACAGTTACAGACAGGATTAAGGCGCGGACGGAATAAGAGCCCAAACCCTGTCGGAGCACGGTGTGTGCGAGCAAGAAGCACCGTGCCGCCAAAGTACAAGGTGCCTAAATTCCTAGTCTAAATCCTAATTGCAAGAGAAAATTCCGAAAAAAAAACAATTCCAAGAACCCGCGAGGGCTCGACGTTAGTTCGAATTTCAAAAAACGGAAATACCCGTGCGCTAATCGCGCCAAAATTCCTAGTGCGCATAGCATAACAAGAAGGAAGCTATGGCAACCGTTATTTCTCGCGCTCGCTAGGGCGCGACCACTTAATCGTCGGCGCGGGACTTTTCCAGCACCGGCCCGACGAACTCCAACGAAAACGAAAAAGAAGCAAGGGCATCCAGGCAACTTGCCCCAGTGATTCCGCTTGCGCCCGTCACCCATCAAGGACCTCCTGTTTCTCCACAGCAGCCTCGCGCAGGAAGTCGCGCGGTTACAGAAGATAGCTCGTCACAACCTAGCTTACAAAAATGGATGGACAAGAGGGGTTTTGTTCTCTGCCAAGACCTCCAAGCTGACCAACCCTCTCGTACTCCATCTCCTCACCTATCTCCCCCAGGACTTGACCCTCTTCTAGTAATCACTGCACCGATCTCACTTGCCTGGAACACTGCTCTGCGAGTTGGTCAATCCCCCGAACTTGACCCCTGCTTCTATCCCCCTGCGGGTCAAGATCTCTCATCCTCCCCGCCCGTCACCACACCCAATGATACGATGCCATAAGCCATAAACACCCCAGATGTAAAGGCTACGGGTTAAACCTCCATAATCCCACATGGAGCACAACCTTACCTTAACTCTTACCCCGCTGAGCGACTGGGTACCGTTGGAAGTCTCCCGTCTTGGAATGCCCCCCCTCTTTCCTGGGTGTGTTCTGGGAGTGCGATTACAGCACTGGCCCCTGGGCTAGGGCCAGCCTATACCTCAGCCTGCACAACCTTTGAAGAAAAAAAAAAGACTCGGGGTAAGATGGTAGTCCTGTTCCGTCCCTTGTGTTTTCCTGGCGACTCTTGCTGGCATGAAGAGGGGGGGATTCCCTGTGTGATGGACCCGCCGGGATGGCGGTCCGTCAAGATGAAGACGGAGGGTTGAGGGAGGAGGAGATGGAGATGGAGCGGGAAGGGACAGGGCAGCTCCGGCACAGACTCAATACGCACATACCCCAAAATGTGCTGAATGAAGAATGACTGAAAACAGACAACAGCTGGGGTTTACCCCCAGCGGACTGACTGGGCTGGAATGGACTGGCCTGGTACCGACAGTTGTACCGGGCAGGACTGGAGTGGAGTGGAACAGCACACGGCCTGTGGGATCAGGCCACGGCCTGGCGGCCTGGTCCCACAGGCCGAACAGGGATAATCGGTGGAAGGCGCCCATGCCAAAACCTTTTCGGTTTTGGCCGCCCAAAGTTTAGCCGTTTGGTACTACAGGGCCAATGACTCGTATGTGGGGTACTACAGGCCCACGCGTCGCTCCATGGCCCTACCGGATCATGAATCTGGCGCATAAACAGCACCAGATTCATTTTCATGTAAAAGAGGCCGGGCGTGGTAACGTCAAAGTGTCGAATGAGGCCCACGTACTAAGCGATTTTGAAAAAGAAGGGCCCTACCGGTTCATGAATCTGGCGCGGAAACAGCGCCAAATTCTTGAACCGGTGAAAACAGGCCCAAGGAGATGTGGCCACGGCGCGGAGGCACCTTTCACCAAGGGGAACGTTGTTTGGGCCGGTAGTACCAAACGGCCGAACTTTGGGCGGCCAAAACCGAAAAGGTTTTGGCATGGGCTCTTTCTACCAATTATCCCAGCAGAACAGGCAAATAGCCTGATAGGCCCTGGCTGTAGGCCAGCGCAGATAGAGGCCCGCTGCAGCCTGTTTGTTGGTGGTGTATACATATCGTCAAACACAACTGCGCGGTAAACTGTTGGCACAGACTCGGCAGAGTGGGAGAAGAGGACAACAAACGAGGGGCTGTGACAGACTGTTTCGTCGGAGCTTCTTCTTTTTTTTTTTTTTTTTTTTAATTTCTACCCATTTTATTCTTCTCTGATCTTTCATTCATCATCTTCCAAATTCTTTCAATTCACCTTCACTACCTACCACTTCTCCCGAGGCTTATAGGTCAGTTGGGTAGGCATGCTAGTGGCATTCAGGAGGTTGTGGGTTCATGCCCCATAACCGCCTGCGGTGCACTAAGTGCCAACCAGCAGTGATAGTCGGCTTGACACCTCTGATCGGTATTATTAAGGTCCTTGCCCAACACGGGTGTGAGTGCGAGTGTGAGTGGGTTGCCTGTGGTGTGTGGGAGAGTTTTGGCCTTAGACACTGCTGTTATTCTGTTGGGGGTGGGGACAATGAAAAGGGAGGCGCAGCTACTGGCAAAATGCTCAGTCGTTGCGATAGCCGGACCCCCACCGGTGGCCCCACCACATCCTTGACCGCCCTGGTGGAGGCGGGGGCAACATGCATCCCCTCTGTTGGCTGGAGGGAGACAACAAAGCTAGCTATGTTTGCAGGGGTCCCCCGTATAAGCCTTTCGTTGGATTTTTTTTTTTTTCTCTCTTTCCTCATATCTCAAATATTTTCAATTCACCTCACCGACTCATATAATATATTTATATATATACCAGACCTTTCTTTATTTCATGGGTGTTTTGCTGGCTTGTGATGGGGTGTGAACCCACAGTCTGTAGAATTTTCCATCTGGTGTGGGTGAGTGATAAATCTGCGTTAATGTTCATCACAGGGACCTTGAGGTCAGTGGTTGGTGCCCAGCTCAGGGTATCAGTTGTTGGGCAGTCATTGATTGATGGTTAACCACAACCGGGGTTAAGGTGGATTATCACTGTCAGTGTTTGCCCGTGTATTTAGCCGGACAATAGCTCCAAATACAGCTATGATACCGTGCGTTCTATTCGGGCCAAGACGGTTTCTAGAGCGATCCGGATGTTTCCGCCCACGTGGGAACCTGCGGACCCATCTAGAGGTCACGTGATCAAGCCCACGTGGCAGAACTGCACGTGTTCATGTGATCAAGCCCACGTGGCATAACGAGTTCGTAACGGCTAACAAACAATTCGTCAGCTCCGAACCTCCTGGGTGCAATCCCACTAGCAAAGAGGATAGCCTAGGATGAACCGGCAGAATCTGGACGTGTTTTATATAGACTTGCAGAAAAGCAGACCAGTCCCGATTTTCTGCCTCGTTCTGCATAAGCACGTCCAGATTCAGACGTTGAATCCAATCCTCTTCCAGTGGCACTGCTTCCCGGGAATTATCACATGGGCACCCTCTGCGTATGACATTGTGTGCTCTGGACGGCTGAGGGCCAGATCCCACTGGCAAAGAGCATTGGGAGAAATGTCTGAATCGGGACGTGTTCCACGCAGATGGGCAGAAAAGTAGACCAATCACAATTTTTCGCACCTGTCGACAAACACGTCCACATTCAGATAATATTTCTTCCAATCCTCTTTGCCAGTGGGATCAATCCCTGAGTATCAATCAATCAATCAATGGCCTTTCGTTTTTCTTCTTCTTGTTCGCGATTGGAACTTGCCTGCTGTGACCGCAGCCATCACCCGGCGCCGTGCCGTCCAGATTTGACAGGTAATTCAATTAGTATCTGTTTTTTTTTTCTTTTCTTTTTTTTTCTTTTTTTTTCTTTTTTTTAAAATTATTACTATGATTATTATTATTATTATTAAAGGATCAGATATTAAACTGATCAGAACAGATACTACACTTGATCTTAGCCAAAAGGCCGAGAAAGGTTTTTTTTTTTTTGTTTGGAAAAAAAAGGCTAATTCTTTAAGCCCAACCAATTCAATTACCTGTCAAATCTGGACAGGACGGCCTTTCAGCCCTTTTTTATTGTGATTATAGTATTACGGGGAACCCCGTAGCAGCCACATCCGTGCTCAAGCCTCCAACGAGGGAACATGCGGGAGCTTCACCCATCAGAAGGTGCGATACCTGCTACAGTATCTGTTCTAATCAGTCCCAGAAAAAGACAAGAAAAAAGGAAAAAAGAAACGAAAAGCTCCGCCTAGACTGCATGCCCCAATCCAAGTCTTATTTAAGCCCATTCTCTCCTCCACCACTCTGCGCAATCTGTTCGCGTGTGTGCGATCGTCTACAAGTGACAAATGAGTGTGTGTGGAAGTTCGCGGAAGTTTGCGGACACTGCGGAGCGAGTGAGTTTTCCAATCGGTTCTCTCTCGGTGGCTGTGAGTTAGGCAGAGGGACGGTTCTCTACATCGCCGTCGGAGTGGATGGCGAGTGGGAGTGGGTGGGGGCTGACTGCGTGGTGAGTGGGAGCGGGTGGGGGCGTTGCAAATTTTTTCTATTGTGTATAGTGTATACGCCGGAAGTGACGAGGTACTGGTGTCCTCGGACAGGCTTAAAGGCTCTTGACATTGCGGCAGTACGGCATTTGCGCTCACCATTCTTCGACTCGGCGGGCGAGCGACCTAGAGAGAGAGAGAGAGAGAGAGAGAGAGGAAGGTCGAGCGTTGACTCTGTCGTGTGTGATTGAGAGAGAACTCCGAGCGAGCTAGAGAGAGAGAGAGAGAGAGAGAGAGAGAGAGAGAGAGAGAGAGAGGTCGGGCGTTGGCTCTGTCGCTCTTGAGTGTGAGAGAGAGAGAAAGAGAGTGAGGAAGGTCGGGCGTTGACTCTGTCGCTCTTGAGTGTGAGAGAGAGAGAACTCCGCGCGGGCGTTGACTCTGTCAGTTTGAGCGTGAGAGAGAGAGAACTCCGCGTTGACTTTTTGGCGCAGAGAGAGAGGTCTTGCGTTGACGTTTTGGTGCAGTGGCGACTTTGGTGCGTCGACCATGTCGCTGATGCCGTGGGACAGAAGCTCTCGGTGGGCGGACCCTTTCGATCGCGCCATGTCCCCTTGGGGATTCTGGGACATGGGAGCGGACTGGCCGACGGGAGTGGCTGGCACGTTGATAGGTGGTGGGCTGGGAAGGGGGGACAGGGGTGGTACCGCTGCTAGCGATGTTGCGCGTCTGGTCAACGCGAACGTTGACTGGGTGGAGAAGGACGACCGACACGAGTTCAAGATCGATGTGCCGGGGTTGAAGAAAGAAGAAGCGAAAGTGGAGGTGGAGGATGGGCGGACGCTGGTCATTCGAGGGCAGAGACAGAGGGAGGAGACCAAGGGCGATGATCGCTGGCACAGGGTGGAGAGAGCTTATGGAACCTTCGAGCGAAGGTTCAGATTGCCAGAGACTGTGGAAATGGATAAAGTCCAAGCTAATATGGACAGCGGAGTCCTCACCATTAAAGTCCCCAAGCGGCCGGAGCCACAGAAAGAACCACCCAAGCCAATCAACATCGACTGAGAAGTCTGAGAATGATCGCTGATGGAAAAGTTTGCTCACTGCTCTCCTAATTGGAGCCGGGCTTTTGGCGTGTAGGGGTTTGTCCGTGCGTGGAGAGACACCCTGGGAGGGAGACACCGCGGAAGGTTGGGTGGTGGCGCCCTGGAATCTTGAAGGGTGGAAGGGAGGAAGAGGGCTTGTGTTCGATCGTAGAGCTCTCTCTCTCTCTCTCTTGTGCGAGGTGGCGCGAGAGAGAGAGCTTTCGTGCTCGCTCGCTTGCTCTCTCTCTCTCTCTCTCTCTCTCTCTCTTGTGCGAGGTGGCACGAGAGAGAGAGCTTTCGTGCTCGCTCGCTTGCTCTCTCTCTCTCTCTCTCTCTCTTTTGTGCGAGGTGGCGCGAGAGAGAGCTTTCGTGCTCGCTCGCTTGCTCTCTCTCTCTCTCTCTCTCTTGTGTGAGGTGGCGCGAGAGAGAGAGCTTTCGTGCTCGCTCGCTTGCTCTCTCTCTCTCTCTCTCATCCGATTGTTGTGTGTATAGAGGAGGTTTGGGAGCGTTCGATTCTCGTTTAGTGTGGACACGAGGATTGGGAGATGTGGTTCTGATAGTGGCGGCCTTCAGGCAGGAGAGAAGGACGACCACCGTGACCACGAACTAGGTGGGTTATAAAAGAACTCAGACGGAGAACAACTGAGTGGGAGGAAGGCTGGCTTCATGTAAGAAGACGCAGACGAGCTTGGCAGCATGGAACATGCTGCCATGCCTCCGATACACTTGCCGACGCTTCTGTTACGATGGGGTTGAATCAACTGTGGAAGTTGCGTTTGAGTCGTGAGCCGATGGGGTTGTTTTTTTTTCCCCAGTTTTTGGACGTTGGATGGGAGAAAATTTGGTTGCAGTGATCATCGAGTCGCTGGTAATGGTCTAGATGATTGGCTGTCGTTGACGATGTCAGATATCAGATCCAGTCAGTCGCCGGTTGTACCTTTGTCTGATCACAATGCGTTTTTCTAACGTACGACCGGCGACAGACTCGATCGGTCGTCGGACATACTCGTGTGTAAGGGAACGGAACGCGTCAAACGGAACGCAATATGTTTAATTGAATGTGATCAGCCAAGGTTTCGGTAGAGATATCCCGTTCCGTTAGACACGACGGAACCTCTTGTGTCAGTTGGAGTCGGATATATGCTGTTACGATAGACAGCTTTAGTTACATGACACACGTCGTTCCGTCGTGTCTTAAAGGAACGGAATACGTCTTAACGGAATGGAATACGTCTTAACGGAACGGAACGTGGAACATATATGATATTGTATACTACTTGGCCCGTAGAACGGAGGGGATAAACGAGGAAAATCGGTTTTGTCTGCATTAGATAAAAGGAAGAAAGAAAGGAAGAGGGATAATCGTAGCCGTATTGAATGGAAGGGTAGAGGTCCTCGGCGGTGAAAGAACCGTCATGAAGCGGAGTTGAGGTGGCGGAGGTGATGTATGCTATGAAAGGGAAGGTGGAATTATGCTGTTCTGTTGTCTTCCGTTCTGTGTGGGGGAGGTGATGTATGCCGTGAAAGGGAAGGTGGAATTATGCTGTTCTGTTGTGTTCCGTTCTGTGTAGTCGCATTCTGAATAGGACCTGTAGCGTGTGTGAGGGTTGGGAAACATGATGCGTGTGCAAGGGATGGGGAAAATGGTTACATCGTCGACCGGCTACTGCGTCTCCCTGCGAGTAGAACGCACGGGCATGACAGATGCATGTGGGTGGATTTGCCGTCTAGATGCGGCGACGGGTTTGAGGATAGATCCCGTTGGGTTGACCCTGCGTTCTATTCCGATGACGGCGGTACGTGGTTGACCGCACTTCTCCGCTTCGTATCGTAGTACTGTTGATTGGGCGTTCTATTCGGATCTGCTAGTTTGTACAGCGGAAAAGATCGCCGCCTCCGATGGGAGATGTTGGTCGTCCGTGTCTCGTTGAAAAAACAACAACAACAAAAAAACAAAAGAAACAACAGAAGAATGGTGTTGGCTTTGACCGACATGTGATTGATAACTATGGTTCTCACATGCCGACGTGTGCGAGATAACACTACTGTTTTCGAGGTACAGGAGTCCTCGTTGAAGAAGCCACCCTTGCTTTTGGTTGGAGATTAATAGACGATTCTGTTCCGTTGTAACCGTGCATGTGTGTGTGTGTTGTGTGTGTGTGTGTGTGTGTGAGTGTGACGGAAGCGGGGGAAGAATTGAGTATTAGTCTGTGCTCTTTTCTGGGAATTTGAGGGTGAGGTGTGGGTCGTAATAGCGGTAGAGCTTGGGCAGCCGGTACGTGTATATGCCATTTGGCAATGGTTGTGCTTGTGAGGTTAACGATGGAGATGGATGATTAGCGGTACAACGTTTGAGAGAGAGAGGTTGTGAATGTTACTTCCTGGCTTGACTACGTGGTCCGGAGTGAAGAGAGAAAAGGGGAGGAGACGTAGCGTCGCGGGGTGTTTGGAAACGGGTTCTTTGTGACGTGTATGAAGTTGGGTTGTCATGAGAAACAGAAAAGAAAGCGGAGAGTAAATGAAAAAGAAGAGACGAGGGAGTGGGAGATGTGCCCATTCGCTCCGAGCGGGTTCGAGAAGGTGATGTGTAAATGATTTCGGGTTCGAGATGGTGATGTCTAAATGATTGTCGTGCCACTCGTTGTGTATGAGCGTCACAGAGGGGACTCAGTCACTCAGGGGAGGGCCAAGTTGTTACATCTCGACGGTCTCACGCTTCGCGAATATTTTGAATGCATCTTGACGAACTCTCTCTAACTGTTCAGATTCATTTCAGATTTTCGGCGGATGGTGAATGCTGCAGCAAGGCTTGGAAGTGTGTGTTGGTTGTTGTCGAGTGTTTTCGAGGTAAGAGTGTGTGGGTGTCGAGTCTGTTCGAGTCTGAGCCTTGATAGTGGAGACGCATGAACATGCAGGAGCATGCGGACCGGGTTGTACTAAGGTGGATGTGCGCGGCTTTTTCTTTTGTGTTTGGTGTGTTCTGTTTTTGTCGGATTGATTCGGTATTGTTATCCCCTCGATGGGCTATGCTTTCTGTTGGTTGGCTGGTTGGCTGTTTTTTTTTTTTTTTTTTTTAATTCCCGACGGACTCTGTGAATTTGAGCGGACAGGAAGGACTGCGATCCGTTTCGTGTATGTGCCTGCGTCGCTCGGTCGGCATCGCTGCGTCTGTCGGTCGTTATCGCTGTACTGCAAAATTTTTGGTCGCATCTCTTATCGTTTGTTTGTGGAAGTTCGGTCCCAACTGTTCGGGGTTGTCGGGATCGTTTATGGTGCGCTGTATGTCTATGGTGGCTGGCGTCAAGACTATTTGTTGTAACCTCTTTTTTTTTTTTTTTTTTTTTTTTTGGAGTCATGCATCATGGAAACCCTCCAGGGGGAGAAGTTTTCGTGGAATTGCCCGCTTCGTTGTTCGTCTGTTGACGTCCACAATTTGTCCAATACTGAAGTCCGCACACCGCTGTGTGAGATGATTGGATTCCACGCCCGTACACGGACCTCCGGCCGTCAATTTGAGGTTTGGCGGTTAGCATCCCAACTTCCTCATTTGACTTTACGCTGACAAACGTTGACGTCTCCAGGATTAAGAGTGGAGCTGCTGACGTGGTTGGGGCCTGTTGACGTTGCCACTCTTACATAGTTTCTTGCGTCCCTGCGTTTTTTTTTTTTGTTCCCTTCTTGCCTCTTTGCGTCTTTGCGTCTTTGAATTTGTCTTCAATACATATGCTGGGTATCCGGGTGCAGGCTCCCTCATCTCATTTGTCATCTGTCGACTTTTGTGCATGATGGGGGACGGTGAATGACGTCAACATCATGCATTTAATCAGCCCGTCAACGGAATCTGTCGACTTGTTGACTTTAAACCGTTTTTGCTTTCGTGACTTTGTTTCCTACGTTGTTTTTTTTTGTTGTCTTCGTCTTACAAACAAAGAGTCGAGGAATTTTGAATGTCGTAGTGAAAGAAACTGACGAACAATCACGGGGGAAAATAAAAAACAATAAATAAGCACGAAGAAAATCTGTCAATTAGACGAGTTCTTTTTCTCATGGAAGTCCTTCGGTTTAAATATTTTATTTGAGTTTTTGTACTCTGTATACTCCTGTTCTTGTGCGCCTTATTTCGTTACTGCTCCTTATTTCGTTAGTGCTCCTTATTTCGTTTCTATGTTTAGTCGGTACCCGCTAGCGAACTTTGGCAAGTTGGCTTTTGGACACGTGGACCTGTGACGTTAATGCACATCCTTGCGCCTTCTCTCTCTCTCTCTCTGTGTGTGTGTGTGTGTGTGTGTCACAGTGTGTGTGTGTGTGTGTGGCCCACCCCTCTGTGTGTGTGTGTGTGTGTGTGTGGCCCCCTGGTGCGTCAGTAGAAAGAACTGAAGCATGTCAACGTCTGGCTCACAGAAGAAGTGGGACAGCGTTCGAGGTGTAGTCTTGTAACTTTTCGATATGTTAACACGTGCATGGGGCTCAAAGAGAGCGAACATGATCGTGATTACGACCAGGTTCATGCTCGCACAGCATGAACGACCACGGTTCAGAGCGGAACATGTGGATTCATCATTTACACGTCGACGTTTGCGTCTTTTGGTGTTAACGTTTGATGAATGTCCTCTCCTCTTTCTCTCTCCCCGCTGTCTTTCTCTCTCTCCGCTGTTGCATGCGTCCTTGCAGTCTGCTGGGTCAACGCGTTGACCTGGAGAGTGCTTTCTTGCTGCTGGGTGTTAAGGTACAGGTCGACAGGCTTCGGTACCATCTTTGACTGAATAGAACGCCCGGCGGTCATGATTTTGCACATTTGGTGAGTCGTGGAGGCCCTGGATGGAGGCCCAATGACCGGGCGTTCCCGTGGGCCCGGGGGGTGAAAGACAGTAGGGGTGCTCACCAAGAGCAAGCTGTGTGCCTATCGAAGCCGAGGTGGTGGGCCTGTGAGGCTAAGCGTCAGTCCCCAGTGCTGCCAATCTAGAAAGCATGAATCTGGTCGTAGTCTTGTTCCTGTTCGTGATTTGTGAACATCACCAAGTTGATCCAACCAAAAACATAGTGTACCCGTGCTGCTTGTCTGAGCTTGCGACGACGTAGAATGACTATCGCTACTACTCTGACCATGCTCGTGTCCGTGCTTTGTGAGCATGCTCCTGGTCGTAATCATGTTGACGTTCGAGTGGGAACAACTGCACACCCCTCTGTAATCTTCCACACGCGCACTACTGGGTCACAAAAGTGTGAGGGTCACCATCGGGCCCACCTTCTGGTGGTACACCCATGGAATTTAAGCACAGACCCCACTCAGAACACTGCAGTTCGAATCCACGTGCAATCAGATGACAGAATAACGGAATTCTGAATTACCTGCGGGTGTGGTAAGCTCAATCATGAAGAAAGGGAGAAAGCTATCCTTGGAGGGGTCCCCTCTATAGCTAGGTATGCTTGCAAGGGTCCCCCCTGTAGCCTAGCTATGCTTGCAGGGGTCCCCTGCAGTATAGGTAGGTAGGTTACTGAGGTAGAGTGAAAGATTAAAAAGATATGTGCCATCATACGGCAGAAGCCAATGATGATATCTCGAGTCCGTGGATACCGTCTTCCCTCGAACGCAATACACCCTCATTTGTGCTGGACCAGACTGGGAAACATAACTTGTAGACATTCATTATCTTGAGGCGGTGTGTAGGGGATAATCGGTAGAAGGCGCCCACGCCAAAGCCTTTCATTTTGATCAAAAGAGGCCGGCGGTGGTACTGCTGAGGAATTGAGCGAGGCCCAGGTATGCGATTTTGAAAAAGAACGGCCCTACCGGTTCATGAATCTGGTGCGAAACCGGAGCCAAATTCTTAACCCGGTAAAAACAGGCCCAGGCAGATGTGGCCACGCGGCGAAGGCGCCCTTCACCCAGGGGAAAGTTGTTTGGGCCGGTCGTACCAAACGGCCGAGTTTCAGGCGCCCAAAACCCGAAAGGTTTTGGCGTGGGCACTTTCTACCAATTATCCCCTATGCGTGGTGTTCGGGGGAAGAGGGTACTTGAGCGCTGCAGCGTTCTGTCATTGCAAGTTGCATGCAAGCACAAGCAGGTCTGCTCAAACAAAACTTCAATGGTGAGGGGCGTGGACCCGTTTTCCAGCTGGTGCTGCTCCCCAACGAATAGATGGAGCGTCCCCGGGAGTGCTAGTCGTGCCTGCTCTGATCAGCACCCATAGCATCCTACCCCGGTTCTTCCCTCTGAAGAAAGGTTGGGCGCTGGGCGCCAGACAGAGAGGAGCGACTTTGAATTCTGTGTTGGTGTGGCCTACGGGCTTGGACATTGGCTCATTACTTCATTGTATTGCTCTATATGGATGGTTTCTCGGTGCATTTTGTACTCTCTGCTTGGATACGACTACCTGGACATCTGTGTGATTTCACAACTTGGTTTTCTGTATATCGTTCACATTCATATTCCTTGCACGCCCATTTAAAAAAAAAAGAAAAAAGATAAAAGAAAAAAAGTCTCCTACATTGGAGGTTAAAGAAAAGAAGACAGGCACAGGGCCTGGGGTGGTTACCCGTGTCCAACTGCCAGCGGCCTGTGTTCAGTCCATGACCTGTCTCTGGCCCAGGGCCTGCCTCAGATTCATTTGGTAAAAGGCAGGCAGGGCCTGGGCTCACTCAACCAACTGGCGCTGCGCAACTGCCTGAATTTCCCAGCTGCGTCCAACCCACGAAAAATAGGCCTCTCGTGCCTTGTCAGGGCCGCCTTCACTTAGGGCGGCCGTTCTGGCTGAAACAGGGCCCAGTAGGGCTTTTTGATTTTCAATAAGTCTTCTTGAGAATAATTTAACAAATCAAAGAGAGTACTTATTTTCTCATTTTTCAAACAATTATATGCTCTAGCAGAGAGCTCTAGTTGATGAATAGAAATTTTCTTCCATGATAAGTTCTCTTTGACTTTGCTTTCTCTATCTTTTTTGAATTCGTGAATATTTTTGAAAATAAATTGTTCTTTTTCTTCCAAAATAAAACTTTGGCAGTTTAATGATATTATTATCTCAAGGCCGTTGCCTTTTTCAAAAAGGCAAGACGAAAGGCGGAAGGGAAAGGAAAGAAGGGGGGGAGGAGGGGGGAGGAAACAAAAAACTATGCTCTCAGAAGAGTCGGAAATAAGATCTGGAGTTTTGGTAGTAGTAGACCCTGCAGGCCCACCAGTGTGGTAGCTCGAAGCAGACAAGCAGAGAGAAAAAAGGAAAGAAGAGACGGTCAGTGACACGGCTGGTGTTTGGCATGCGCTACAGCATCCCCACAACATCTAGCATAACCCCATTTCCCCGAACAATGCACTGTCATTCTCAACTGCATTCTGGTTAGACATGTGCAGCTATAATAACAACTGTGTTCTGTTCGGATGAGCTGCTTGTCCATTGATTATAGCGACTGTGCTCTGTGCTCTGTTTGGATGAAAGACGGTATGGTCGTCGATAATTCAGCAACGACGTCAGGTGTGCACACATGCATGAAGGCTTAAATGTGCACAGGCCAATGGACTGTCCTTGTTCACGATCATACACATAGCTTTACCCAGGTCAACCATTACTCTGTGTCATCCGCACTGATACCACACAGGGCGTGGGGGCACAGCAAGGACGGCGGGGGTATCGCTGACTCGCCGAGCACATTTGGATACCAGTCCCACCAACAATGTCAGGCGTGCGCACATGCATGCAAGCCTTAATGTACACAGTCCGGCAGACCATCCTCGTT